ACCCGTGCATCAGAGGAAGTAGTTCGGGCATGGTGACGAGGACGTTGCGAATGGTCGCTGTCCTTAGAACTGGTGTTGTCGCCTACAAGTCCGGTGATGGATGGAATATTGGATGTCGGAAGCAAGGTGTCATTTCCCGGACCGTCGCGGCCGCCCCATGGTAGCTGCATATCGAAAATAGTAGGGCGCGAGGATTCGTGTTACAGTTGTAGAGTGAAGGCCTTGGAATGCATTGGTGGTCAGTTTCGATTTAGAAGTGAGCGCAAGCCTGATGAGAAGGAAGGAAAGTCCTCTGTGTTGTAGTTGAATACAAGGGAACGACTTCAAGGCATGGACTAGAGTTGCCACGAGAAAATGTATCCAGTTAGTAATTCGGATCCCACTAAAAGAAAAGGGACCGGTTCAAGACCGTGGAAGAAAGGATCCAAACATAAGTAAACGCGACAAGGCGAGAAGAAGAATAAAAAGAGGCCAGCAAGGACACGAATAAAGGTGATGGCACGTTGGATGACCCGGAATTATGTAAAGTCGTCCTGACCTGGAGATGTCCAGGTGTCTTGTCCTTCAGGGCGGGTCGAAGCTAGTACTGTTCAAGCTCCAGCAAGGCTGCCAGGGGCTTGCATCGACCTAGAGAGGCTTATTAGCCAGTGACATGAGGATGGCTTGGCGGACGAGTCAAGATTGGCTCCAAGAATGAACAGTCAGGTCTGGGCCAATTGCTTTTGCTGCAGGAGCTTAGAGGATTGGCATGGACAGTTTAAGCCACATCATAAAACGACGTTTGAGATATCCGGCCATGTCGCAATTGTCTACCGTGGAACAAGTCTTTACGGTTTCGAGTTTCACTACTAGGTACTATACAAGTACTATGTATGGTTATAATAGCTGAAGTGCGGACGATCAGTCTCCAGACCCTTCACATCTAATGCTACTTACCACCTATTTAATGACATGGGTGGGTAGGTATGTAAGCATCGCATATTAAATTGGTGGTTCAGCAGATGAGATGTAAGAAATCCATTAAGCAATCTGTATAAGAAACTAGATGCGTATGATGAATAACTCGGCATTCCAAAGACCCATCATGCCCCATTGAAGTCATTAGATTCGTTCGTATAATGACCTCAGTCCTTAAAAGTTGGTTCCGAGCGTTCGTTCATCAATTAACACGACCCGTCATCCACATTTTTTGGTGGGATGTTGGTCGGGCGACCTGGTTAGCCGATGATCCCACCCCACCAATGAGATTCACGAATGTAACGGATAAACTATCCTCCGACCTCCCTCGACCAGGTTTTACCACTGCCACAGATCAAGCCCCAGCCACGCCATTTACCGTTGGAGACGACTCAAGGCCTCCCCCCTCTTCAAGGTCCAGGTCCCATTTTCCCCTTCTAATAAAATACCTTGACTGCCTTACGTCGCGATAATCCCGCCCGCGCACACGCCTTATCACCTCACACTGTTCTCTGAAACCGTCGCTATCGCCTCAAACTAGGTCGCTGATTTTCACTTCTCACTTTGCGCGATACTCTCGCATTGCTTCATGCTCCTGGGGTGCTCGCGACGCTGCTCTTGCGCGTAGAGCTATCCTGCCATCGAGCTTGTTTACCCGACGCGCCGGCGTTAGTGTTGTCCGCCTAGCTCAGTTCCTTTTTTATTACCACAACCACCAACTCTGTTTGAACCTCGCCTCTACCAATCCTCCATATCTGGATCACAAATTCTTTTTGGAATTACTATTGCTACCGTCGTGCTTTCTTTTTGTGCATCGTGTAATCTCGCGACGGCATCATGTTTTATTCAGAGACCTTGCTCCAGAAGAGCGGGCCGCTCGCCCGCGTCTGGCTTTCGGCCAACCTTGAGCGCAAGCTGTCAAAGACACATATTCTTCAGTCCAATGTCACAGACAGTGTAGAGGCCATCATTATGCCTAACCAGGCGCCGATGGCCCTCCGACTTAGCAGTCAGCTACTTCTTGGTGTTGTGCGAATTTACCAGCGAAAGACGCGTTACCTTTTGGATGATTGCAACGAAGCTATGATGAAGATAAAGATGGTTGGTTTTATCCCCTGACGCGTCCCATAGTCGCGTTTGCTAACTTGGCCAGGCTTTCCGATCTTCTGGAAACAACGATATGGCCGTTAACCTCCAGGCCCCCAACCGAGAAGCTTTGACCCTTCCTGACAAGATCACTCCTTACGATAATTTTGAACTACCGCCCCCACCAGACGCGAATTGGCTTCTGTCTCAAGTCGAAGACGTTACCACCGCACCAATCGGCCGAAAAGGTCGCGTCAGCCAACGGGACATTAACTTGCAAGAAGATTATGACAACAGCCAGTTTCTCAATGATGGCATGGCCATGGATGACGATATGATCGCCCCACTGGGTAACATCGATCTGGAATTAGATTTTGGTCTTGATGATCTCGGTCTCGAGGAGACAGCACTCGAACCTGAAGGAGGTCGACGAGAGGATCGCACCGCAGCCGGTCCCGATATTAACGATTCGGAACTTGACTTTCCCCAAAAAGATGACCAAGATCGTGCCATGACTCTCGACCTTCCTAGGGACGACGTTATAATTCATGATGGCGGCGAGGATGTTGTAATGGAGGGCATGGAGCTTGACTTTAACCCAGACGACGTCTCTCAGATGCCTGGTATCGCAGGGCCTGAATACCCTCCCCCACGAATCTCCGAATCACCGCTTTCCGATATTGATGAAGATCGGGCCGCACAACTGGAGGAGGACCATTCGAGATATCAGATGGCTGATCTGTATGAGCCCGAAAATGAGGACGACCAAATTGTTCGACGACCTGCGCAGCGCGCCAAGAAGCAAAAGATTCTTACTCCTGACGAAGAGATTGCCCTTTCGAGCAACCACATCAAGCAACAGCAGGCGAACCGTGACAACATCATCAAGGAGGCCGGATTCCTCCCCCGTGATCCTCTCCTTTTGGCTTTGATGGATATGCAAAAGAGTGGCGGATTCGTCTCCTCTATCATGGGCGACAAGCGAAGCACGAACTGGGCCCCCGAACTACGCGGCCTTCTTAGTCTTGACACTGCTCGTGGCATGAACGAACTGAAGCGTAAGCGAGACAGCGGAATCGCCGATGTTGAGAGTGATCACGGAGCAAACAAATCACCTCGCATGCTCGATATTGGATCAGACACTGGACTTGGCTTTGAGGGTGGCTTTGGTGACATGAGCCTCCCTCCCGATGAAAGTCGCCATGAGATCCTTGCTGAGGATGAAATGGAGGATGAAGAAGGTGTCACCATGATGCCTGGCTTCGAGGACACAACTATTGCTCTTGTCCACCCTGCCGAGAGTGGTCCTGTTTCGCTCGGTACCAAGCACGTTGTTCACCAGCTCCGAGACCGATTTGGTGATGATGCTGCCGACAGCCCTGGCAAGCGAACTGAGAGAGCAGTTCTTTTCCAGAACCTTTGCCCTCGAAAAGAGGCTACCAAGGCTGACGCCACCAAGATGTTCTTCGAGTGCCTTGTTCTTGCCACAAAGGACGCCATCAAGGTCGAGCAAGGCTCCGGCTTGGGCGACGACATCCGGATACGCGCCAAGCGTGGACTCTGGGGCGCTTGGGCCGAGAGAGAGGCTGGTGGTGAAATGTCCCAAGACAATGACGCCCGCGATGAGCCTGAGCATGCGGCTACTGTTACCCCCGCGGTTGCCGTTTCAGCATGATTCGACACGAGCATGCATTTCCTAGCTGCATCGTTATGAAGACTTGGATGGGCGGACATGTTTGGTCGTGTAAAGTATTGAATTCCAGCATTCTTGGGCCATCAACTCGAGGGTCGCCCAGATGGTGTTGTAGGCGTTTAAGGATATACCATGGCTTGCGGTACTTGGTTGGATGGATCGTGGCTATATGGGGAAAAAAGGCGGAGGTCGATTTGCCTCTGCTTTCTGTTTTTATGATGAGTCTTGTTGGACAATAGCATTAGTAGCTGAATATAGTTGTTGAAAGAGCAATATAAAATTATATAGCAACTGTCACTGTCTGATATTGTGAATTGATGTTTTACATTTCATGTGTTCTTGTACTCAGTTAGGTGTGTAGAAGGAAAGACGACAGTAACAGCCCCGCCATCTGGACCCCACGTTTAACATGATCTCATTTGCTCGTCTGTATAAATAATCACTCCAGGCATCAAATAACGAAACAGGCACCCAATTAACTATTCTCGCTGCCTAAGAAAGCCGATCCAAACTTTACAAAACCCTTTGTCTACGAACACGACAGCCAATCTACATCAACCCGCATCAACCTATTCCACCATGCCGCCGCCTTCACAACTCGCCATTGCTACAAGCTCCGTCAACCGCCTTCTCAAGGAGGAAGCTTCATACCACAAAGAGCTCGAGCAGGAGGAAGCTAGCATCGAAGCCTTGAAGAAGAAGATTGACAGCGGTGCCGGTGACGATGATGAGAACGCTCCGTATATACTCAAGCAGCAGGTTGGTCTACAAGACATCATCAAGCATCAAGGCTCACAGCTGACAATTTCTAGCAAACCGCCCTCGAACAGACAAAAGCCGTTTTCGGACCCCTTCGAGAAAAGACTGCCGCCGCTATCGAGAAGCTAGAGGAACAGCTCGCTTACAGCGACCAGCTCGACGTACCGGAGGAGCAGGTGCAGCAGGCCAAGGAGACGCTGGCAAAGGCCAAGGCCATTCAGACCGATGCGTAATAGGGCACGCGAAATGATGGACGAAGGGAAGAGCTACTTTACGATATTAATTATGAGACTTAATGCAAAAGAATCGCTTCTGGGCTCTTTATACACTCAAGAGTCGATACTAAACACCCTGGCTTGCGTTGGTTTCTTCCCCTTATGTCGACTGTTGGGTTGTATAGGATCAAAAAGAGTTAACAAAACCATATGTACTTGAGGGTATCTTGAAAAATGTTAATTACAGGAGGCGGGCGCAAGAGGTTCCATACTAGTAACGAATGTCAAAGCTAATTATCCACTTCCATCTTGTCCTCGCTTTCTTCAGGTGGCTCGATAGTCACCTGAGGTGTTGCTTCTCCGTCTTCATGAACCCGACTCTCAGAATCATCCATATCAACATCGTCTTCAGACTCCACCTTGCGTTCATCGCTTGGTGGCATGGGCGAAGCGTCTCGGCTCGGTGCCTGACTACCACCCCTGGAGCCAACGCGGTTGTGTTGGGGCTTCAGCGTGTCTGGGCCCGGAGTGTCCCTCACTGGTGTTCTTTCGCCATTGAGAGCCTCTGGATTAGGTGTGCCGGCATCAGCATCTGTTTTCATATGGCTGTCGCCGTCTGGGTGAGGCGTCGCATTGCCGCTGGGTTCGTTTCTGGGCGTTTGTCCGACTTTGTCCACCTCAGCATCATCATCAGCACCCTCATTCATACCCTCTCTGCGATCAACCTCTTCCTTCTCGTCGCGAATCTGTCGTCGTAGAAGCATACCTTCCTCCATGATTCTATTAAATTGTTCTCGTCGTTCTCTCCAAGTCTCGCTATAGGTTTCACTTTCTCGTTCAAGTTCCCGACATTCTTCCTCGAGTTTGGCCAAGTTGGTAATCTGGTCTTCGCGCGGTCTAAGCAAGCGGTTGGATGTTATCTTCTCTGCTAACTCGTCGAACTTTTTGCGCTGCGCAAGGGTGGCTTGCGCAGCCTCGAGCCGGTCTCTCAGTTGGATGTTGTTCTCTCGGACACTATTGCAGTCGTCGAGGATGCGGTGTTGGTCGGCATTGTAGCGCTCACGCTCTTGGGCATTGGCGTTGTGAAGAAATTGCATACGCGTGATGCTGCTGCCGAAAGCATGGAAATCGAGGTTCATCTCCTCCTTCAGCTCCCTAAGCTTGGGCTTTAAATCTTCGGGGGGGTTGGCAGCGACTTCGGGGGATAGTAAAAGTTGTGATATAGTGTTGAGACGTTTTGTGATTCGCTTGAACGCTTTCTCCTCTACGTTGAGAAGACGAGACTTGTGAAGCTCGACCTCTTCTTCAGGATCAAGAAGACCCCACGAAGCTGAAGATGCCATCTCGATTCGAGTCGCGGTCTGCTTGTGTGTATGTTTGCGTGGGTTGATTGGTGGTCTGAAAATGTTCTTAATAGGAAGATGATAGTTTTGCGACGCGTCACAGAAGACCTTCGACAAGAACTAATAGCAAAGACGTATTTAAAATACTTCAAGTTAGACGATGGATGATTAACAACAAAGCTTCAGTCTTGCGATGGTATTGAAGATGCTAAGATAATTGAGCCATTGAACCAATGATAATCGCGAGTGAAGATGACTAAGGTTTACATTCCGATGATGCACCCCCGCCGCCCTCTTTGATTCCAACTTCTAAGAAGTCGCATTGTCACCCTCCAACATTCACACCTTCAATCGTCTCGCCACCTATAGTTATCTCTACAACAAAAAGCCCGCATACTGTCAAAGAAAACCCCATCGGTAGTACAGTAAATATGTCGGAAGAAGAAAGAGAACTCTTGGCTCGCATCGGTCAACTTGCAGGTTCGTGCCCTATGTTCTATGATAAAATACATTTTACTGACGATTTCAAAGGCCAGATTAACCGCCACAAGAATGGGCAAACAGGTCCTCGGCTCCCGCCGAACTCTCACCCTGCCCACCATCGCCGTATGTTGCGATCCAAGTTTCAAGGCAAGAGGATCACTAACGCCCACAAGACAACTCGTATCGACATGCAAGCTCGCCGTACCCGGCTCGCCACAATCGAGTTGGGCGACCACCCGCTGCGCATCAGCATAAAACGCTCCATTTGAACGCCGATAGCTCGAATGCATCCCGGTCCGCCAGCAGCGGTGCCGAGACACCACCAGGCTGGGTTTCCAGAAACGATCGTCATCGTCAGCTCATCAACGCAAATGTCTACGAAAGAGACACGCAGAATCGAGCGAAAGCCATTGAGCAGACGCATCAGAATAAGATTAATGGATATCGTCAGCACGAGAAGACAAAGTTTAACGAATTCTTGAAACACCAGGCCGGCGCCTCAAGCGCGCAGACTAACCCCGCAGGTCAAAACGAGCTCACCGTCGAAGGTGTCCGGTTTCGCGTTATGGATGGCGGAAAGAAGCTTGTCAAAGTTCCTAGTATGTGTAAAGCCCCTCATGGTGTCAACCTTTGTACCTTACCTGTCATAGATGCTCTCAACTCGTCCTCTCGAACCCCCAAGACTGCTATCATTGCTGGGGTCAAGTTTTACCGAACAAAGACAGGCAACCTTGTGGCGAATCGCATTGTTAACGACCAGCGGTACGTAATGTCTCTCCGTGGACCGAAGTTGCTGACAGTATTTAGGCGATCGGGCGCGGTCAAGAAGATTGATCAACTTTGTAAAATCTTCTCAACGACTGGTATTTCCTCTTTCTATGACTGGAGTGGTCCACGCCTCCATCATCCGAACCGGCCTAGTGGCCATGGGACAAAACTAACATATAATTTCTGCCAGGTTCATGCACTAAAGGCCCTCAGTGCCGCTATATTCACGATCCCAACAAGGTTGCTCTCTGTAAAAACATCCTGAAAGACGGACAATGTGTCAACGGCGAGTTCTGTGATCTTTCCCATGACATGACTCCCGAGCGCACACCCAACTGCTTGCACTTCGCCAAAGGCCATTGCGCCAAGGATGATTGTCCTTATACTCACTCCAGAGCGTCCCCTGCTGCTCTAGTGTGCCGAAGCTTCGGCTTCAATGGCTACTGCGAGAAGGGGGCAGGTTGTACTGAGCGTCACGTTTTTGAGTGTCCTGACTTTAGCAATACCGGCCGATGTAAGATCAAGGGATGCAAACTCCCGCATCGTGAGAGGGCAAGCGTCCTTCGAAACAGATCCAACGCCCACGGCGAGCCTCTTGGAGATATTTCAAGTGATGACGAAGCTGCAGATTCTGATGATGTTGATTCAGATGAAGTTGCCGAGTTCATCGACGCAGATTCGGATGTTTCCGACTTTGAAGAACAGAAGGATTTCCTATCGATTTAGATCCAAGTCAAGTCGTGGCGCCTGTTACCAACAGACACGCCATTCTGGCTTTCAGCATGTTGCATTATCCGGCGTCTGGAGCATGGATGGGTTTTGGTAAATGCACTCAAGATACCCGTGACTTATCGGCGTCTTACAAGGTTTTGGTTACGCCATACCATGAACATGAGAAGAACAAAGCAAGGGAATAAAAAAAGGGAGAAAAAAAGGCGATGAAGAAGAAAAAAAGAAAAAGATAGAAAAAAGCCTATTTCACAAAGCAGTCCTTAAGATAGATTAGGTTGTAAATGAAAAAGTTTCGTATTGAACAGGAGAACTACGCGTGAACATGATGGCCTCGCCAACAAGCAAACTTACGAGCCAACAAGATTTCAGCAAAACTCCATATCAAAATAAAAGCTCTGCAAAATTCACGACAATGGCGCTTTCTTTCTTCATCCCCATCCGACCAATAACCAAGGAAAGACAATCTCAAGCAAGTTATCTTACCCCTGCCTCAGGGTCAGAAACATTGACGACTGAAAGCATAAGAGACGAAATTAGTAGGTTAGCTTATGCTCCTTAGACTATGGTTTTTAGACTGCTTATTTTTATACCCTAAGGCTGAGGAGTCTAATTATTCCGCTACCCACTAGCTTGTCATTCATCATTCATGTAAGTGCATACCTACTACATGAAAATTATCATGCAAGAAACCATCCAAGTTATATTTATGACAAGAAGCAAAGCGGAGGGAGTAGTACAGCAGCTCAAGTTCAAATTGATGATTTTAATTAATTTCTCTGATACCCTGAGGCCTATTTCACATAGTTTGGCGAGACATTTCATCTTTTTGGCTTATAAAACAAAAGAGATGCCCACAACCGTAATTCCTATAGGTATAACAGGAAACAACGTCATACTGCTTATCTTTAGTTACTGTTATACTTCTGGGACTTTCTCCTCAGCTAACCACTTGATAAAAGGCTTGTCAGGATTCTTATGATCTCGGCATCTTAGACTTAGCAGACCGCAGCTAAAGGTTACGGCATCGATAAGCCATTTATTGCTTAACTTGTCAGTATCCGTGATAACCCTTGCCTCTTTACGGATAGCTTGGCCGTTATCTGCAGCTAATCTGACTGACAAGTAGATAATATCATCTAGGAAAACAGACCCTTAGCAATAGCGGCTATGGTATTGCTACTGCAAGCTCTTACATTCTGGTTTTATCCCGTCCAGTATTATATTACTGTAGCTAGGATAGGGATCAGTTGGAGGGATTATGGTAATAAACTAGGCAAATTAACTAAAAGCTTAGTGTTTTTATGTTCAAGCTCAATAGATCTAAGAGAATTTCTTTATGCTAAAGGCAGAATAAATAAGCTGCTTAATAGGTATTGCTTTTATATTATATAAGAATAAGGTCATTCTTAGAGCCCTGTCTTTTATAACACAACCGCCTGATCAGATCTATTAGACTTTAAGAAGACCCCCATCAAAGTTATACTTCTGGGGAAATACTGAAAGAGGGTTGATAAAGGTGATTCAATGAGCATCGCGGATTAAGAGTAAGTCATTAAAGCATGTGGCAGTGATACGTTTATCTGAAGCATGAACATCCTGTCCAAGAGCGCGCATGGCGACATAGTATTCGACCAGCTCTTTGGCAGCCTCTTGCGAGATGACAGGCTGGATCTTGGACCGCGCATAAGAGGTATAGAGGGTCAAGAACTCAATAGGAAGTGAGCAAGAGCCGCACTGCTGACTAACTGACCAGGGCTGGCCTAGTCAACAACTACTACCCAGGTAGGTTAGTATTCAGTGAAAGTGCCTCCATATCAAATCTAAAAATGGCGAGCGTGAGTAACATAACGCGAACAAAGAAGTAAAGCAACGAGTGCACCAATTTGGTAATGAATTGTGCCTTCTTCTTTTGTTACCTTGAATAGAGTAACCAATGACTACTATTTGAAAGAGTTCAGTGTTTCTAGCCCAGATTCAAAGAAGAAAAGGATCAACGCTGGTTGAATGATTAGATTAACATCATCTTCTTAACCCTTATACGAGACTTGGAAGAGAAAGACACCGAAGAAAGAGGCTTAGATGGAAGACATGAATCTATCTACCTTGGCGGAGGCTTTACACTGCCTCATTGACAACCTGCTGTCAGCATCAGGGTATTGTACTCTGTGTGCATGCATGGCTTACCCTGTACCATTCTTCATGGTGAAGGAGCTCACCTGTTCGTTCCGGTAACTGCCTAGGTCGCACGGTTGGTATGAAGCCAGAGCCAAGTACATATCTTCCTGTCAATCTCCATATACAGTCATAACAAATTGCGAAAATGGGTATACGCGATATTCTCAAGAAGAAGGACGACCTTTCGACAGGCGAACCTGCTCAGAAAGAGACGGTCGACCGTTTGGCAGCTCCCGAGTTTACAATCATCCGCTCCGATACCTCGACCCAGGAGCGCATCTACCCGCCGTCTATGAAGTCTTTCGACAACCTGCGCCTTGCAGCCCAAGACCCCAAAGGAAAAGAAAAGCCCCGGCGATCCCTCGACGTCTTTCGTTCCGGTCGTTCACGATCCGGGTCTGAATCGAGCCAGACCAAGAAGGAGAGCGGCGCCCGTCGTCTGTCGCATCGCCTACACCTGAGCCGTGCTCCTCCGTCGTCCGAGAATGTCCCCGAGAACCTACCAGATATCGTCACGTCGAGCGACGGTGCAGACGAGCTGCAATGGGAGAAGCGCGCGACCATGCTAGCGGGACAGAACAACCGTGTCAGGACCACCAGCCGGCCAGGGACCCCCTCGGACAGCGGTAGAAGTGAAGGGCGTGAAGTTTCCTTGCAGAAGATCGATGAGGATATTCAAGAGGCCATTCGCCTGCATGAAGCGGGCAACTTGGAGCTGTCGACGCGCATGTTTGGGCGGCTGGCTGATCCTCAAGGCGCCAACAACCCATTGAGTCAAGTCCTATATGGTCTTGCTTTAAGGTGAGAACAGTGTATGAGAGGAGAAGTTTCCAATGTCTCGGGTAGAGCGTTCGGGTCGGTCATCTACAGGGTTTGAAGCATTGCGAAACGCCCAAAACCCAAAACCCTGCAGTGACGCCCCCAAGCATCGACCCATTATCACCATGTTGAATGAAGCAAATGCAAAATAAAACATCTCGAAACTAACACAGGCTTATTTTTTACAGACACGGATGGGGTTGCGCACCAGATCCAGAGGGCGCCGTTAAGTATCTATCAGCTGCAGCCTCCAATTCCGCTTCCATTGAGCAAATGGCTCTCCAAGCCGGCATGAAGAAGGGCGGAGCTGCCAAGGGAGAACTTGTTCTGGCCATCTTTGAGCTGGCAAACTGCTTCAGACATGGTTGGGGTATCGACAAAGATGCCTACGCCGCCAAGCAGGTAGGTTTAGCTCTCATGTATCGCGAGAGTGGCATTGGAAGCTGACCATTGGCCTGCAATGTAGTATTATGAGACTGCAGCGAATTTAGGAGACACCGGTAAGTTGTACAGTACTAGACACGAACAGACTGAGCCTAACACCATGTGATAGATGCCATGAACGAGATTGCTTGGTGTTACGTTGAAGGCTTCGGGTGTAAGAAAGACAAGGTACGTTGCGCCGTCAGCCATCTATTCACCATATACTGTCTAGTCGGCCCAAGAAGATGTCTGTACATGAGTCGTGCCAAAAGCCTTCAAACCCGAGGAAGAGTGATTCTCGGTGAGACTGGCTTACTTGATTCGCTCGAGAAACTCTCGCTGCCCAATATCGTGCATACAAACTCAGGCATCGACGGGTTGCTCCAGCAGTGCAAATACACCTCTCAGAGCTTCTTTGGACCGACGGAAGCCCTCATCCCCCACATACAAAGTATGACATATCATATGAGGCTGATGACTTGTACAGTTCGCAGCAGCCCGGTATTATCGACTGGCCGAGAAGGCCGGCAACAAGACACTAGGGAACTCTTGGTACGTTCAAAAACATCCACACGGCTTCAACGGCCCAGCATCTCCATATGCACCTCTCTATGCAGCAACTGCTTTGTGGCGGTCTGTTGGTTTGATAGGTTCTCGCCCACCTCGCGCTGCTCAGGGGACCACAGATGCTGGTGCGACGAGTGGCGGTCTATCAATTGGCGTTGAGATCTAAACTCATGCAACGTACGATCTGTAAAATGGGACAAAGTACACTGACTCAAACATTGTGCATTAGGATCTGGAAGGAAAAGTACGACCCTCCGGGCGAGAGCAGTCGCAAGTAGTGCGGAGGAGGCAGCCATGTGCGACTGTACCCAGGAGGTGCATCTCCGCGATCTGCTGCTGTGTAAGTCAATTTCATCGAGGAAGAGGAGGATGCAGCTTTGTGACGGGCTGTTGGGAAGGGTCTCGGCTTGTCACTGTGCGATTAGATATTGTTTGTAAGCGTATTGGATATGTCGCATTCTTATAAGCTATTGATTTTTACTCGTATATAGTCTTAGATATGTGTTGCCCAAGCCCCAATACAACTGGGTAGAACAAGCTGCGGAAACTTGTGTGTGCTTGTGTTTCGCCAAGATGCTATTTATTGAGTAGATATATAGAGTACAAGATGCCTTTTTTACTTCTGTGGTTGGTTGTACGTATTGCAGCACACTGTCGCATGGAAAGAAGCTTTGTGTATGTGTGTAGACTATCTACTACTTCAACATCTTGTGATGACCTGTTGTTGTCTCTTCTCTCTTAACCTCGGCTCTCACACTAAACGCCCTCGTGATGAAGAATCTTACCTGAGCTACCGTTGATGCCCAACTTTACCGAGCCATGAGCTTTCTCGTTCCTATTGGGCGTTGTTACTAAGATATGCGGCCTGTAAATGCGGCCGGGTCGGGTCGGGGCCCGCATGGATGACGATGAACCGTGCGTATCACATCACATTCGATCGATTCGTCGTTATAAGATGTTAATGAAACGATATAGCAGAGACGGAAAAGGACGAGAATGAGGTCATGAAC